TATAAACTTTGTCAGTTCAGTGTTCAGAACAAGTCCGTGGCCCAAGCCCGACCCCACATGGCTGCAGATAGACTCCAAGGTGAAAGCGGCCCTAGTGAAGCTTGGTTTGGAGGTGCAAGCGGTTTCGGTTTGGACTAGTGAGGGCACAACCTTCTGGAAGTTAATTGAGAGACGGAGGGGTCTCTTGTTGTATCTTGTTGTGACATGTTTCTGGCTCACTTCCTCTTGATGATAATGACTGGCTGGTGGTTCAAACTTGTTTATTTCATCCAAATGGGCCGACTAACTCATGTCATGTATCCCACTAGATGTGGAACTACTAAGACCAACAAGTGGATTGCAGCAACCGTACCGGAAGGTGTTCCAAGTATTTCTAGTAGTACTGTCTACCCATTGGTGATCAAACATGGCAATGGAAAATCCATCAATTATATCAATTATCGATGATTTTCTCATTAACACCATCATTTTATATACGGGATTTCCCATTGCCATGTTTGGTTGCTGTTTTCGCGTGTGACACTTGCCCAGACATTATCACTTGGCCGCTCACTATTGGCAGGGGTTGACAGCTCTGTTCCTGTGACAAGAAACTGTTTCACAGTAGACTCAGTATATAGACCTAAAGTTTCTGAACACGCGGAACTGTGCAGTTCCTTTGCCTTGTGGAAGTTGAGGCAAGTGACTAACAGACTAGACACAATGATTCAACTTGTGCGCATCTTGCTGGAGAATCAACATGCATGTTGTCATCATCTTTCTTGATATAATCATAGATTCGTCCCTGGTTTCATCGCTTTTCTTAGTTCCTTGTGCATTTCCATGGATTCTATATAATATAGGTGATCCCCGATTGACTTTCACTTAATTACTGTATACATATTGCATCATGTTGCATGTTTGGACTTTCACTTGCACATATTTTAGATTCAAAAATCATATACATGTATATACATATATATATATATAATATGTATAGTTATGTATAGTTATGTATAAATATATATATATACATACATATAAATAGTTATACATATTCGTTGTTTGGAGGTCTAAACCACCGTGACCAGTTGTTGGACCCATCCATTTTGTTTGTACCACCCGACCAAGGAGTTGACCATCGTCACAGACAGCGCTACACAGGACGAACGGGTCAAAAAAACAACCTGTTTTATCCATGTTTATCCGATATTTGTTATATTTGCTGTAAAACATCAAGGGTGTTTTTGAGAAGTTTGATACAAACCGGGTTTTTCATCAGAATATATCGGATATGGGTTTGTGTGAGAATACGTGAAATAGGTGCACTAAAATCCAATGGTTTATCATCGTTGCCCCATTGAAATTTCAATTTTTGAGGACCCCCAGTTTCAGGCGCACACAAATTGACGAGGAAAATGATGATATAACAAGCCGCAATGTATCAAATTTCTCGTCCTGAATGCTGGGATGATCAAATAATTATTCAATATATTGAAATTATTGAACATTACTTATTTTCCGGGGCCAATTGGCGCCCAAATTTTGAGCCATACCTCGGTGATTGTGAGTCACTATGGGTCACTCAAGACGGAGACAGGCATCAGTCTCTGGACGTGAGCAAGTGATGCCAGATGATGCAAGAATGCGACGACGAGACTAGACAAATTCCTTCGATCAAGAGGTCTTGCAATATGCATACATATATACCTCAATATAAGACTTACCCTGCGGTAATCAAATGCGGCTTGCTGGAAAATCCCGCATTTATAGATAATTTTCCCAGCTATAGTATAGGCGATTTGCCAGAGGGTAGATACTCCAATTCGTTGAGGCATAAACATATACATATTCATATTCGTATGTATATATATATATAGATAATTATATATAATATATATATCTCTCTCTCTATCTACGTACATACATTTATGCATACATACATACCAGTATGTGCATACATACATGTGTATATGTATGCCTATATATATATGTATATATATATATATATACATTTATTTATTTATTTATTTAATGTCCGGGTGCATGTATGGTAAAATTACATTACAGCATGTTAAACAAATCCCTGGGAGACAGAGCCCTTTTTTTGAGCCCAGGAGTCCAGTCCTGAGGCACCGGCTTCACCCTCCACGCCCGCAAGGTCGCCCACCTTTCAGCCCAGGCTCTCCAGGCACCATGTGGGCTGGAATTTGGTGGAATCAGATCAGAATGAACCATTGCAATTGGTGGATATCCGTTATATCATTGGTAAATATATCATGTAAGGTACGGTCAAAATTGTTGAAGACCACTGATTGCAAAAGCAACTTTTGTCAGAGACGTGCACGAAACACAGTAAAGCGATAGGGTCCCCTCCAAAAACTATGATGGTACAAAACACTCGAAAGCGATATGGCCCCCTTCAAAAAGCGATAACCGATAATAGCAACTACTGAGATCGAGATGTATACTATGCTCACATGACATGAGTGTAGTGAAACGTCTCCAAAAAACACTACTCTTATGTAAATAGCGCACATGTCGTTTGCTTTAGATACCAAAAAGATACAATATACCTATTTTTTTTGCGATAGGTTGTCTTACGCCCGCTCTCCGAAACATATGAGCTCATGACAGGCATGCGATCTCCAGCCCATGTGAAAAAAACACAAAAACAGGTGAAAAACATTGGCTTTGCCCGATGACACCTTTCATTCACGTGATATTCAAAAGCATGGCATCACATACACGGTTGCGCACCGACAATACAAGGACAAATGCACACAAGGCAATGATGAAATGATGAATGGGTGGGGAATGTAATGACGTCTAATGATAGAATGAACACATAATTAGGTGGGGCTGACTGCACCCCTCTCCCTGCTCCCGATCCCTCCACCCGGGTTCCTTTTTGGAAAAAAAATGTCTGATGGGTCTTACTGGACGATCTGGCCTTCAAGCAAGATTGCAGGCAAACAAAAAAAAAAGTAAAGAGGGAAACACAATTAATTATATTGTAAAGTGGTTTTGACCCCGGTTAACCGCGTGGTTTCGACACCAGGCCCCTGGAACACATGACATGAGCTCTCAACCAAAAACACCTGTTGCAATTAACATATTTCAAAAACCAAACGTGTATAGCCCAGCAAAGCCAGCACACATGTTGACGACAATATGCAAAACACATTCACAAAACATTGAAATCATGTCCAAAACAAATGCACAACACATTCAAGACATATGAAACATAATACATTTTTACAAAGCATTATATAGCATGTACATTGACATTTCGAAAACATATGTATTTAAAATAAAGCTGCGTTTCTCTATTTATCCACCATATACCCACCATTTCTCGTTTACCTGTTGTGTTGTTGTGTTTTCCCCATTGTGGTTACCTGTTGGAGTTTGCTCGCCTGGAGGAGGCCTCCCTTTGCTGTTGTGTTTCCTGTTGTCTTCCCCCCGTTGTGTGTCTACAGCCTTGGCCTGCACCAGCCTTGACCTGGCCCGCCTGTTAGGCAGTTTTGCGGCGGTAGCTGGTCCCCGTTTTGGTTCTTCCCCGCCCGTGTGCCGCCTCAATCCAGTTGATTGCTCGGCCTCTGCAGACATAGCAATCATTTACCCACCCTTTCTCCTTTCGATCCCTGGTTTTGCCAGTTCTCTGCTAGGTCCTAGGTTCTTGGAAATTCTAAGGCGCCTTAGAGCACATGACATGTGCTCTCAACTAAACACATGGGAAGAGTTGGGGACTCATCTCATGTGCTTTGCTGTCGTAGGGCAGCGAAACCTATTATGTTTTTTTTGGTTTCACCCTTGTGCAGCAGTGGTACTTGAGCACGTGACTTGGTCATATGCGACCAAAGATGTCACATAGTCTCATGTCATTTGCTAACAAGGCCCAAAAATGGCGGCACACAAAAAACATTTCAAATGGTCGACAAGTCTCAAGTCATGTGCCTGCACATGTTTCGGTTCAAAGCCATGCGCATGTCATTTGTTGAATGTATGGCGCAAAAAAAACACTTATTCCCATGTCATTATTTTACCCTAATATCAAGTTTTTGACCGGAGTTCATATGCAAACATGGAAAAACATGATTACCATTGCATTGATGGACATCAATGATCATCAATGTATATCAGTTGTGCAATGCGTAAAACATCGTAAAACTACTTTAACCATATGCAACCGTGGAAAATATTTAACATGATCTACCCCACCTGTGTCGATGACACAACATTGGATGCAGGGCAGAATATATGGCAGTTTGGTTAAATATGTAGCGACCTTGCTGCTGACCACGATGTGAATCATGTATTAAGTGGGAGAATCATCCCTAGTGGCCGATCTTTCCAGCTTGATGAATGAAACTATTTTCCCGGATGACTGGGTAAACAATATGAAACCCATATGTTGGATAAAGATGTGTGTTCCCGATAATTAGTGAAAATGAGGGTGATGTTTTTATAGCAAACAAACCCTTGTTTCGGCGACTTATACGATCCAGACATGGCAATTCAGTAGGAAAGATGAGCATATGACATCCGACCACTAGCTGGTGGTTTCTTTTTTAGGGTTTAGGCCAATACACAATCAAATAATTCAAGATGCACTTATTAGTTTCTGCCCCTTGCCTTTTAATCCGGGTTGAACCAGCCGTGAACGTGTTTTGACTCCTTGTGCTTTCCAACCTACTATGAGACCACTGACTCTCATTGAAACAGAGTCGGTCCAAATACGTTTAAAGCTTAAACATTAAATGGATTAAATTTCAAGCTGTTTAAACACATGTAGGGCTATGACCCCCAAAGCGTTTAACCGTTTGAACATACATGTTGCGGGGCTGTGAACATGTTCTAAATGAGTGTAATAAGAACGGGTAAGCGAGAAAAAAAAGCCAAGGTGATGTCATGAGCAGCGGATTTCTCAGTGTTTGACTCTGCTAGTTCTCATGATCTCATGCGGTTGGGTCCACAACCTCTTGAATCTGGTTTAAACATGTTCGCTGCAACCTGGACGTTTGCCCGGAGTTGATGTCCCGCAATCAGCGTATTGTTCAGAGGGGGTGGCTAATTTTGATCCCTCATGATGATCAGGTGATATTGTTTCCTCATGAAGATAACTGTATTCAAGGTATCTTTCACATGCCACCGCGGCTTAATGTTCCCCCTTGGCCTTGCTTGGATTCGCAACTTCCCAGCAACACAGAACTGTCTCTGTTATGTCACAATGATGAGTCTGGGCGAACGTTAAGGTTGCGGACAACATGTTTGAACATTTGTTTAAACATTGGTTTAAACATTAGTGTAAACATTTTTGAACGAATTCACTAGGGCCCCCTACCACCCCGGATTGGTTTACATAAAACTCTTCAAACATGTTTATATATATAAATATTTTCGGTTTAAACATGGTTTAAACACAGACATGTTTAAATCGTTCAAACCACCCCTAGGCCCAACCCTGCATTGACATCTAAGGTTACCCACCAAAGGTATAATATAACCACCAAAAATCAGTGGCCTTAGCAAGGTATACCCTACCATCATTTGGAAGCCAGGCAGGGCACAAAAGAAAAACTCCACCTCTCGCAGGTGGAAGGTGGGGCAGGGTTCATGTGTATTGCAGTGACATAGATATCTCGGTGGATTTTGCTCGGTGGATTTTATTGTTGTTTTCGTTGTCTGGGTTGGACACATCAAGTTCTTTTTTGGGAGTTGGACACATCTAGTGTGTTTGTTGTTTGTTTGTAATTGGATATAGCTCATTACAACTCATTACACAGATGGATTTTTCACATAACCCATTCGGTAAGTTAAGTTGTTCTCTTTTGTTTCAGCACGGGATCAACAAACCACCCATATATAATCCATTGATTTGGTGGCCCATTGGTGCCCCAATGTTGGCCCGTACCCCACGTGGTTCCATTGAAGTGAGGCAGGTTCCAACAAATCGACTTGGACGTTGTGGGATGTTCCTGTGGGCTAAAGGGGTTACAGCCCCAAGAGATGACCTTGGTCGTTTTTTTACTGGTGTTTAGTAGGGAATTGTCGAATGGGATGATTAATGAATAATAGTTGTGGATCATTCCTCCATTCCTTACTAAGCACCAAGCACCAATCGAGTATTTTCCAGTCGGTAGCAGTTCACTGTCGGACATTTTATGCTTCAAGCTCCCATTGCGGCCAGCGGGCTTGGAAAAGATCGCCACGGAGCGCTTGCCTCGGGTTCGGACCTTCCAATTCGCAGCGGACAAAGAACCTAGGCTGTGCACATGGGAAAGGGGGGGTTGTATCAACCTTTAGGGGGTAACCTGTAACCCCCAAAATCCAAAGGTTGATCATTGAGGTCGGGGGGTTCGTCGCTTGGAGCGCCGGAAAGTGGATCGCTTGGAACGCCGAAAAGTGAAACCCACAGAGGCATAAGAGATACATAGCGCTAGAGTTACACACACACACATATATATATATTTATATAATATATTTATATATATATACACAGAGGCATAGACACATAAATGGATGCATTCATACGTGCCTACAGGCGGAAGCACTGAAGCACGCAGGTAGTGACATGGGCAGATGCACGCAGACATACATTCCATGCGATCCGCCTTCCGGTGCTCAAAGTGCTTCTGCTCTCCGACCCTCTAAATAACATAACAGAACATAAGATAACATCCCATTACATTGCATTGCATTGCATTACATGACACTACATCACACACCATCACATTACATAACGTTACATTACATCACTTTACATCCAGTAATTACAGAACATGCCATTACGTCACATAACATACCACTACAATACATTACATTGCATTACAGGACAATACAGCACATTACATACCATTATAATATATATATATATTATTACATTACATCACACCACATTACAGTACATACCGTTACAGCACATTACATTACATGTCATTACAGTACATTTCATTTCAATACAATACATTACATTACACACCATTACATTACACACCTACATTCCTACACACTTGCATACCTACATACCTATCTGCATGCACAGAGACATGCAGAGACACACACACACACTAGACAAGAATGGATCATTATAGTGATCCGTCAGGAACTGAGTCCTGTAACGTGCAAACCAGCCTAGACCATTAGACATGTTTGCAGGTACACATCCGTGGCCAATGGATGCTTCCCTCTCTGATGCATTGCTTCGTTGGACAGAGTAGCATCAGAGAGCTCTGTTCCCCCTCCATTATTACTATTATTAGAAGGGGAGAGGACGGAAGGAAGAAAAAAGAGAAAGAAGTTTTACATCTATTCAGATGTTACACACACACACACACCCGGCCGGAGCCGGGTCAACCCTGAAAGGCAAAAGGAAGAAAAAAGCGGACACAATCGACGGGCAAACGGCCAAAACAGCGCAGGGGGGGAGGGGAACAGACGGACCTCCAAAACCAACCTACACGGCGAAACGGACCTGACCAAAACAGAGCACACACCTAAACCCCCACGACACATTACGGAGAGGCACGCAGGGAGAATTAGGGACCAAATGGGGGACTAGTTGATGGTAAACAAAAGGAACCAAAACAATTAGTTTAAACGCAGAACTCAGTTCCTGAATACCTAGGAGTCGTGCGTTATGCCATGTTATGCCCCTCCGGGCCCGTGTTCAAGTCTTGCCCCAATGGCATAAACAGCTTTCAAGTTCCATCGAATTAGGTGCACAACATGTTTCACCTCACCAGACAACCATCAAAAGAAAAAAGACCACACCTGAAAGTCGTGTGCCTGCCTGTCGTTCATGTCATGTCATGAGTAATCTGTCACTGTGAAAGCAAAACTGCAGTAAAAAACGAGGTTTCAGGAAGTTCAGAACGGCTGCGCTCTGATAGGCAAGCATTCGGCGAGGAACCCTGGGACCAAAGGACCAGCGGGACATCATAAAAATGGTGCAGAACCGTAAGGCCAACTGTTTCACTTTACTTAAACGAATTACCAAATTAAAATGTGTGAATTCGGAAGTCACGTCAGTCGACATTCACCCTAAACAGGGTTGCCTCAATTGGCCCTACGGCACCTTGTCGGAGTCACCATAGGAATCACACTAGACAAGAATGGATCATTGTAGTGATCCGTCAGGAACTGAGTCCTGTAACGTGCAAACCAGCCTAGACCATTAGACATGTTTGCAGGTACACATCCATGGCCAATGGATGCTTCCCTCTCTGATGCATAGCTTCGTTAGACAGAGTAGCATCAGAGAGCTCTGTCCCCCTGCATTATTATTATTATTACTATTAACTATTATTAGAAGGGGAGAGGACGGAAGGAAGAAAAAAGAGAAATAAGTTTTACATCTATTCAGATGTTACACGCACACAGACAGACAGACAGACAGACAGAAATACATGCGTGGATGATCATGGACGCATGCAAGCAGTGTGCCATGCATGCACTTATACACAGGGATGCATACACAGACATATGCACATAGAGCATGCATGTCAGCATGGCAATCCAGGGCTGGTGTGGAACCGCGGGACGCATGAATGGGACTGATTTTTCACCCATTTCTGATAGTTTTGTGAGTACAAGGAGGCAAACCATCGAATTGACATGTTGACCTCGTTTGGAATTAATTATTGAAGGTTCTGATCAGAAGACCATTCTTATGTCGCTGCAGGCGTTCTAGACCTCAAAGTGATATGAAACGTCTAAAAGCTTTCATTCTCTGGTGCTCTAATGTAATCCACCATGCTGGTCCCCTAAACCCCCCCCATGTCCCAGCCCCATGTCCCCAAGTCAAACCCTAAAGGTCTCATTCTCTGGTGCTCCAATGTAATCAAACCACCATGCTGGTCCCCTAAACCCACCCCGTGTCCCAGCCCCGCGTCCCCAAGTCAAACCCTAAAGGTCTCATTCCACCATGCTGGTCCCCTAAACCCCCTCCATGTCCCAGCCCCATGTCCCCAAATCAAACCCTAAAGGTCTCATTCTCTGGTGCTCCAATGTAATCAAACCACCATGCCGGTCCCCTAAACCCACCCCGTGTCCCAGCCCCGTGTCCCCAAGTCAAACCCTAAAGGTCTCATTCCACCATGCTGGTCCCCTAAACACCCCATGTCCCAGCCCCGTGTCCCCAAGTCAAACCCTAAAGGTCTCATTCCCTGGTGCTCTAAGTGATCTACTTTTTTGGTGCTCTAAGTGATCCCGTGGTGCTCTAAGTGATCCGGTGCTCTAAGTGATCCACTTTCCGGTGCTCTAAGTGATCCTTTCACCGATCAGTGATCATCAGTTTCCCAACTACAAATTATAGACTATATACAATGGCCATAATTATCACGATTCCTCATATGCCCATTTCAGGTCCCCAAAAAGAATAGATACGTTTGCAGAGAATGCCAAGCAGATGACTTATTTTGCCCTCCAGATTTCCAGGTATCCATTCTATGACTTGGGGTAAACCCAATTTGACAAATCATCATAAATCATAAACCACCCCAAAAATCCCATTTGTTTTGGGTGGCACATAAACAATCGCCAAATGGCAGTTGTTTATGGCAATAGATTTGCCACATTATATCCACTATTTGGTTATATCATATATCATTCATATATCTATTAAAAGAAAAACATGGTTGTTGGCAATGATATACCAATTACTCATCCTGATTAACCATTCTAAATTAGAAACCGCTATTAGTATTATATATGTATATAATATGTGTGTATTCCATCATTGCTGGTTATATATATATGTATATACAACATATATCCCATTGTATTTTCCCATTATGGCATTGGGTTGCCCACTTTACATTCTTGACATTCCTAGCAATATTCCATTAGACCACCATTTAGGATGGTTAATTCCCATATTTGATGGTTAAATCATCTTAAATCACCATGTGTTTGCCCACAGAACCGTTTCATCGCCGGCCCTGAGGAAGATGAAGACGTGGAGGAGGCGGCCACACTGAGTCGAGATACGGCGGCCTTCAGGGAGCTGAAGGCGCAGGTGCGGCTTGCGACCAGGGCCGCGAATCGCAGGTGGACCACTGGAAATGGAATTGGTTATAGGTTGATAAGTTGATAATATGGGTAAGCAGAGGAATTTGCTATGCATATATATATATATAGAGAGAGAGAGATGCATATGGTGTATGCTGCGTTTTCCGCTGAAAATCTGGGTATGCCTTCCAAATGTCAGTTTCAATGGAGAAAACAAGGCTCCAAACCATGAGAGACAAACCCAAGTGAGATTCAAAGCAAACAGCAGAAATTTGGAGTTATGAAGTTGAAGCCGCAAGTCCAGGGTCAAAGAAAACCATAGAAAACCCATGGAGTTTGGGCAAAGAAAAAGCAGAAAACATGGGAATTCCAAACCATGAATTGGGGCCAAGTTAAGACCATCCTCCTTGAAGCGTTGTGAGAATCTGCGGTCAAGGTCTGACAACATATATACGAGAAACGCATTCTATTTCTATTTGTGGTGTGGTCTATGTTAATATCCCATTGGTAAACCTTTCTCAAAAAATGCATAGTTTGAATTAGTTTGAGAATCACATCTCCAAACCTTTCCGATGTTTGACATCAAATGGACGATTCCCGGCATTGGTTTACAAGAAAAGCATTGCACCAATCACCAAACTTATTTGCTTTAGGGTAAACGCCGAGATTTCCTGCAGCTCTTGTTCCCTCAAATCAATCCCCTGAATGACCCCCTAGTTTGGTTTCAAGTATATCATGTCATATGATGGGTAGTTAAAATTCTGGCAGACCATTTTAGTAGGGAGTGCAATTTTTCGTTTGGAAAGTGTACCAAACACAGTGTATAGTGATAGGCCCCCCCCAAAAGCGATACCTACAATTGTGCATGATGTCCACATCCGAATTTGTTTTACACATAGTTGTTGTATACATGCAAGATGCAAATTTAGCGATAACCCCTTTGCCCTAGACCACAGATAGACCCTTTTAATCTCTCCTTTCACCTTTCCTCTTCCTTTCCTCTTCCTTTCCTTTTCCCTTCCTTTTCCCTTCCTATTCCTCTTCCTATTCCTTTCCTCTTCCTTTCCTCTTCCTTTCCTCTTCCTTTCCTCTTCCTTTCCGCTTCCTTTCCTCTTTCTTTCCTCTTCCGTTCCTCTTCCGTTCCTCTTCCTTTCCTCTCCCTTTCCTTACAAAGATTTCCGCTGTATTTATATCTGCATCTACCTATACATATCTATTTAGTATTGATCTATATTGTCTAAATATACGTGTATATATATATATACATATATCAGGATTATTATCTACATATGTAAGGATGCATACTATAGCATAAATATGTGTTGTCCATATAGGATATATATATATATATACATGGAATGGAAGGAAGTTTAAAAGTCAAACTTCCGACAGTATGGGCAGATGAAAAAGCAGAGGTGGGAAGAGTCAAAAAAAAGAAGAAGAAAGAAGGTCAAAGAAAAGAAAGAGTCAGAAGAAAGAAGATGCAGGTGCGCGAAAAGGCGAAAAGGTAAACAAGTCGCAAAACGCTTTGTTTTTCCAATGGTTTGTGGCTCCGGAGGGTCGAAAAGTAGGCTCGCTAAAGCGGCGGGTGCGGAGCCATCTGGGTAGATGAGAGATGAACAATTGCACGCCGTTGTGGCGCAAAGCAAATTTGGAAGCAAACATGTTAAAAGTGCGAATAGCATGAAGCCCTATAAGGACCCTTTCAATTTTCCATGCGCAAATCAAGAAGTGTAACTTCATGGACCGCCTGTCAGGTCACAAACTCGCTGCACATCGCAGCCCTTTTCGAGCCTTCGATGGAAGGAAAAAGCCAGCGTGGAGCTGGCAGTCGCAACTTGGGGTTTATTGTGGGTGAAGTGAAGGTGTTGTTTTGGGGATTTGGTTTGAGTGTTTTTGATTTGGTTTTGTGGTTCAGGGCGATTTGGATTCCCATAGGTTATGAGCCCCTTTAAAGGATCTACCCAAAAAACAGCCTCAACAAACACCTAGAGCGTCCATAGAACCGATGGATCGGCGCCGTCGAAGCATGGCTGGTTCACCGGCAGCGGATGAAAGCACAGCTGGTGCTACGGTGGTGTGCGCTGCAGATGGCGCTGATGGCGGCGCTGAAGCGGGCGCTGAAGCGGGCGCTGCAGTGGTGTGCGCTGCAGATGGCTCTGATGGCGGCCGAGCTGCAGAGGAGCGAGAGGAGAGGTTGGAGCTGGCAATAGTTGGCCAGGAGCTTGTTCCGGTGAGTGACAGAAGGGTTAGTAGCCTAGAAGAGGAGTCTCTAGAGAAAGTCCAGGTGCACAAAAAATGCTAGGAACACCCGACCAGTTGCAACCCAACGTGATGTCTTTGAAAACAAATGAAGATAGTGATCTTTGAAAACAAATGAAGATAGTGAGAGGAAGGATGAGCATGATGGAAAAGGTCAGTTGTCCAGGGTTCCAAATGGGCCGCCTGTCTCCTTTGGTCCAGCGAGTGGAACATCAGCTCCTTTGTTCACACCTGAACAGATAGCTCGAGCAACTGATCCCCGGAACTCATCATCGCTATTGCCTTTGACAAGGGAACCAAATGTGGGAAGTGATCTTTCTCGAATACCAGGTTTCCTTCAAGGTCTTCTACCTGGACTGGACCACTTCCAAGAGGCACGTCAACGAGAATTGGAATGGCGAGCTCACATGGAAGTGATGATCGAGCAACTTGGACTTCAGTTGAGGGCATCGCATAGTGAAAACGTGCGTTTACGACAAGAACCAGTAGAAGCTGGAAAAGAAACATCGCAATATGGGATCCCTGAAGAAGATCGATCCTCAGAAAAAGGGAAGATTCAAAGGTCTCCGTTGCGGTGGTCAATCAAAGTAAGGAGGATGGGGTAGTGACCCGGCAAGATCAAAGGCTTGGTTTGGGGAGCTCCATCAACAAGAAAAAAGTGAAAGAAGGGACTATGGGTCAACATGGTCTTCAAAAGGAGGATGGGGTAGAATCCCGGCAAGGTTTTGGGGTTGAGGAAGGGACCAGAGTCCGGCAAGCCTTTCAAGATCTGCTTCCAGCAATGAACAATCCGATCAGTCGCAAAGCAGCGATGAAGAACTGGGGAAAGAGGATGGGCAAGAGCGCCAGCAAGTCCCGGGGCCACCACTGAGGCCCAAACTATGCAGCTCCTTCTCAAGATCGTCCAAGGTATGCAGAGCATGCAGAAGCAGATCCTAGAAGGAAAGGAAGATCAAAAGGAGGAGTCAGAGGTGGTGAGGTACTCGCCTGAACTTCCACGACTACCAGAATGGAATGTTGAAACTGCTCCAATCGACTATGGTGATTGGTCACATGCCTCCACACCTACATGAGTGACCTCAGCCCCACGAGTGAACAATGGTGGGATTTGACCCTGGACACCGCCAAAGAATGGTACCAGGCCCATATGAACATGACCCCCATTCAACGACTATCTCATCAACCAGCTCTTCCGGACGCCTTGAAGCAAAGGAAGTGGGGGAGACTTGAAAGGCGTGCTGCATCATTGTTGATGGCCGCATTGCCGGAGCAGTTGAAGGAGGAGGTGATCAGCTCGAAATCAGTGAGCGCTCTTGGCATTGTTTCGAAAGCGATGTTGTCCTACCAGCCTGGTGGACTGACTGAAAGGAGTGCCATCCTGTTTGCCCTTGAGAGCCCGCAAGAATGCTCTTCAGTGGCAGGAGCGATTTCCCAGCGCCGAAAGTGGATCAGGTGGAAAAGAAGAGCAACCGAAGTTGGTGTGGCAATTCCGGATGCTTCCATCCTCATGCGTGGACTGAGCCGCATCATGAAGAAGATCGTCCAGTCCTTTCCCGAGCTCAGCTTCAGACTCTCCTTGGTCCTTGGCCAGAAACAGCCTCTTGGTGGACACGGTCCCAACTCATGCAACGGTTAGCCAATACAGTGAACATTGCTGGCTGAGCTGGAGCAAATGGGTCAGCAGGCAAAGAAACGTGATCATCCTGCTGACCAACCACCAAAGCTACGAAAGTTTGAGGAGACCTACAAAGCGAGGATTCGTCAAAGACATCTTCGAAACAAACTGAGGAGTCAGAGCAGAAAAAGAGGCCATGTCGTTTCTTCAACACCGACTCTGGCTGCAAACGTGGAAAAAGCTGCCAATATCTTCACAACCTAGATGGTCAAAAACGATGTTGGACTTGTGGTTCAAAAGGGCACTTTGCCCCCAACATGTCCTCGATCTGAAGATGCGAAGCCCAAAGCAGCGAAAGTCAACGCCAAGTAAATTGACAAGGACGGCAAGGCGACCACATCTCCGGCTACTCCTGAGAAGCCTGAGGAACCCACTATGCACCGATCAAGCTGGTGCTGGAGAAGACACAATGAAGGTCTTGATCGACGAGGCCAACCGAATGCTTAAAACGCTCCAACATTCAGACCCAAAGGAGTCAAAGGAGAAGTATGTCAGCCCAAAGACCACTGAGGACAAAATGACTCAGCTTCAGAAACAGTTGGATGAGCTCAAGAAGGCGACGATGCGCCCCTTCAGGTTGTCCAGACTTGGGTGCTCCAAAGCTTGTGGCCTTCTTGACAGTGGTGCTACACACCCTCTTCGAGCACGATGAAAAGGCGAACAAGTCGCTCATCTACCTCAAGTACAAGTCACTTTGGCAGGAGAACAACAGGTGACAATGCACCTCTCACCAACTGGTGTGATCATCGGTGAGGAGACTGCCGAGCCGATTGTGCCTATGGGCATTCTTGCCACATCACTGAAATGTAGCATCCAATGGTCTGGTGAAGAACTTCGAGTCGTTCATCCAAAACATGGCGAGCTGGAGGTCCACATCAAAGATGGCTGCCCAATGGTTGACCACGACCTTGCCCTGAAGTTGATTGCCGAGATTGAATCCATTGCCGGGGCATGGGTGTAACCTCACAGACCGAGCTGCAGTGGATCCAACGTCTGGTCCATGAACATCCAGTTTTTGCAGGGCTTCCCAACGACATCAAGAAGGCCCTGATTGAAGTTCCTGCCGGTGA